TTACAAAGACGAGATGAGAATGATAAAAGTGTCAACGAGTTTCGAGGTGTATTATGTTAAAAACTGTGTGCAGGGGGGAAAAGCAGGATAATATACTACATAAGATCCACGAAAACGCATGTAAAGAACAGTTTTGCTGCCAGCTATACATTGAACTGGATACTAAAACTTCCCAAAAAGCTTTAGCATATGTTTGGTGATCTTGCAGGATTTAAGAAAAATTGGCTGTGGATAATTGTATGAATGGATTTACAAACATGTTTTCATTTTGAATTGAAGTCCACTTGCAAAACATGTGAATTTACAAATCCACTTACAAATAAATGAAGGTTTTCCTGCCATGATTAGCCTACCTCCTAGGAATTTTGACAACAAAACCGTCATAGTGCATTGAGGCATATAAAGATTGTTAGGACTAGTGAACTTGCATCATTTAAATAGCATTCACATAAAATGCATGCCCTCATGAAATTCAAAAACCAATTAGTTACAGAAGGGTTCCCAAAAAAAACAAATAATCCATTTCATTCATCATCAGCAGAATATGCTCCTTCAGTGAACTGGGGGAAAAAAAGCCAAGACAAGGGAGCATGACAACTAATGTTTAACGTAAGTATTATGCATGAAAACTAATTTTATATTAGCAAGGTTTAGTTTACATTTTTTTCCTTTACTATATCAGTATCTGGAGTTTCGACGGTGTTGATGGTTTTGAAATGGAGTATTCACATGTAATAAGTCAATAAATCACAAATTTTCTGTTCATAGATATTTTTTCAACTTTTTTCACAAATATAACTTTACTGAATCACCATTTGCTATTTTGTACTAAATCTCCTCCAATATTAGTCATTATTAATTGACAATTATCCTATTTTAGTTGTTACTAGACAATTGGTAGCATCAGTCCAGTCTAGAACATTACCAGCATACCTAAAATCTGTTTTGGCACACCTACACATAGATACTTCAAGCTATAAGATTTAGGAAGTATTTTCATCAATTAATTAAATAATACACAACTATTTGGTCAAATCATGTTACTTCAACCTTGGGGGTGGGCAGTTGGGTGGGTCAGGGGGACTCAACCATGTAGAATTGTAAACCATAAGAACTTCAGATTTTAAAGAACTAGATCAAGGAAACATGTCAAACCAAGAAAAGTATTCATAGCAACAAACAGAAAAACAAGCTTCCTTACTGACCAAAAGGGAAGAAAGTCCGCGTACATGAGATAGCCACCTAAATACTAATTTTGAAAGAAAGACGTGAAGTAAAGATTAGGATATCACCTGACTAATCACAACTTCATGGAGGTAGCAAAAAAGAGGCCTTTGATAACAGGACTTTAACATAGAAAATAGAAACCAAGAGCATGCCACAAATAGAAGATGGTATACAAGGAAAGTTTGCAGCAGCAACCACCAGCAACAAGCACATTTAGTTCAGTTTTCCTGCTGTTGTATATTTATCTATAGGAAAAGAACATAACCAAATTCTTCAAAGTTGCAGTATTCAATAATATATCCTATGCTCATACTAATTAGGCAGGTTGCATATTAACCATGACTCCAACCCCTAAAGTTCCAACCTACATAACTAATGGTAAAACAATTTTCTAAAAAAAAGCTAACATCTGTAATGTTCATAACCAAAATCTATCAAATAATCATGAGAACAATGAATGAAATACATTGCATACCTTTCGTTGGAGTAGCAAGAGAATGGAAGGTGAGAAAACAAGCATCCAGATCTTTCAAGGTCGGTCCAGTAGGTATTCGGTATATAGGATACCTGCACGAATTCCACGGCATATATCCTTTTATAAAAACTAACAATCAAGATGCACCTTGAGAATGTAATAGGAACCCTACCATGCAACAGAAATCCAGCTTGCCGGCAATAAGTCACAACTTCTAAGTGTCTTTAGTTCTGGGGATTTACTTGCAAGAACCGAGACCTGCATGAAGAAAGGTCATGTCAGCAGCAGCAACAAGCCACCGACAAAGGTCAAGATTCTGTACGAGAGAACTTGCCTTATCAGCCAAGGGTTCACGGCTGTAAGGAGGATCTCTTTCTAGGTACTGAAATAATAGGCGACCTTGAGAATGTCCAGTATCACTATCATCACTCGAGAATCCTTCTTGCATAGGTCCATGATTCTCCCTCATGGACAGCCTATCCATCCCAAAAGTTGACCCGTTTGAAAGATGGCTCCGATTCCAATCCCTTGCATATTTCAAGCCATTTTCAAGTTCAGAATCACTGCTTCCATCACTACTGGAATCCCTATAGCAGTCCATATCACTATCCTCCCCAGGTTGCCTGCAGAAAACACTCTTGTAAGAGAAATTTCAACTCAAGATATCACCAGCTTAATTTTAGATACGCATGAACCATCTTCTCTCTTTTTTCCCTTTCTTCTTCTTCTTCTTAATAATGTCTGTTGGGCAGTAACCTCTATAAGCTCAACTGACCCTTGTGGCTCTTTTGAAGCAATTTATTCAGAGTCGCCAACTATCATTCGAACCATCTGAACAGGTCACTCTAAATTTATCACATACCACACTAGGAAAAACATGTAATTTTTAGGCTTTCCAGCTATGCGTGCCTTCATTGCTTTGAATCAGAGGGCAAGGATCATGTTGGATATGACCCAAACTAGTGCTACCCAAGAAGTGCAACATTTCAGCTTATATACATTATCAATTTAAAAGAAATTGATAATTAAAAAAAACATAAAACACATACATTTTCACACCACATGAACAGTCAAGCAAATTGTTTCACAGCTATTATTGATCTACAGTAAATGTCACTGAAATTTCTGTGCAAATGTGAACATTCTATACTTTGACCCAGAAGTGCTTACTTATTCAATTACGGTCCTATAACCCCTTGACCAGAGTGTATATTGTCCATATTCAAATCACCCCATGCAATTGTCTCTCATTGCAGCTATGTGAAATTAGCGTCAGCTTCAAGCTATGTTAAATTAGAAAAGCTGGACACACTGACACAGTTTATAGAATGATATTTCTAAAAGGTAAAAGAATAGATTTCACATTTGGAGGAACGAGTTCAGTGAGAAAATAATCACAAAATTGCTTGGGCATTTCTATTAAGTTTTGTTCAATAATAAACTGGAACCTCCACAAACTCAGGTTGCTAGCCTCAGCATTCACACCATCAGAAATAGTTATCGGTCCAAATGCTTACAATAAGCATTTACTCAAGTTAACTGCATTAACCTTTTTCCATTCAGTTGTGGCAATCACCATATTCTGATTCACAGCCTCCATCAATTTCTTTTTGATCTACCCCTAGCTCCTGTTCACTTGGTCAATTATGGTGCTGTTAACTCCTTGACCAGTGTGTATGTATGTACTGCACATATTCAAATCATCCCACAAAATTGTCTCTCATCACAACTGCGCAACATTGGCTTCAGCTTCAAGTATGTAACTTAGAAAAGCTGTATACAGTTTATACAAAAATTTTCTAAAAGATAATAGGATAGATTTATCATCTTATTGAACAAATTAGTGAAAAAACAATCTCTCCATAATTGCGTGCTCATTTCTATAAAGCTTCGTTCAATAATAAAGTAAGCTCCACGCTTTAGGTAACTCAGCATTCACTCCATCCAAAATAGACTAATAGTTATTGGGTGCATGTGCGCTTACTATAAGCATTTACTCATTAGTATGCACCAAGCAACAAACAGAGGGACTAGGACTAATTACTTCGATAAAGCAACATGTGCCCTTAAGCCAAAAAAAACAACTAAGATAAACAGCTCAAGAAGATGCTCACTTGAAATAAATATCAAATTGCCAGCACAATTATCTACCTACTTCGAAGTATTTAGATCTGATTCACTTTTGTGACATCATTTGGAATTCGTTTCTAAAAGTGAGTTTCATATTCCTAGTAGACACTTAGCACTTGAAATAAGTTCCTAACTGAAATCCATCAACTTGTCTCTATAATGAAGCCTTTATCTAATTATCAAAAGTATCTAACCAGATCTTACACCTTTGTGGTACATCTTCCGGAAAGTTTCATATCCCCTTCCAAGTTAGAGTTAGTCGTAAAAATGACTTTTAGCATTGAAGCTCTTACCTTTGTTTAGCTTCCTTTTCCATGCTATTTGATTCTGAAAGTGAAGTCAACTGGAAAATTATTCAAATGAATAATGTATGACGCAGGAAACATGTGAGGAACTACGTATTGAAGCCACTTCCTAGATGACAACTTGTCCACTTAATCATTGATAGCATTTTGATGCATATGCCCCCCAAGCCCCCAGCTAAGAGTTTCTAATGATTGTCAGCCAGCAAACTACAAAATCACCTAAACACCTTGGGTGAAATCATAAAATTATGATAATGTAGATATTTCAAAATTGAACTGCACAACAATTCTCATCATTGCCAACACTACAAGCCTACAATCAGATACATAAGCTATAATGTGTATTAAACATATTGCTGTATACTTGTCATAGAAAGATGCCAGTGGGAAAAAGGAGGCGGCTTTCCATACCAAGTTTTGAGATAAAAGGGATTTCTGAATCCCCTTCTTTCCAACATAATTGACACCACAAAGCCCTAGGTAGAAAGATGTTTATATCTGTCAGCGATGCGTATACTTTGGAAGAAAAATTTCTCCTGCTTAAAAATATTCATTGTGTAGTAAGTAATATCCCTTATCCAATATGTGACTGGTTTAATTTTTTAATTAACTTTTGAGTTATGGTCAAATTTTCTCTTGAAGAACATGTCCTCTTCTGGACCTCCTATTACATGCAGACTCTTATTCCCTGATACGGTTTCCTTTTCACCTTCTTCAAGAAATCACCAATATATCAAGAGTAAATAAAACCAGAGCATTCATCCAACATTGCCAATCAATGGCAACATAAGTTTTGCATCATAAACAAATGTACAAAAAGAAGACTTATGCGACCCAGCCAAAATTTCAACAATACCTGGATCAAATAATCAACCAACAGAAGATTATTCAAAATTATCAAATAAAGGAAGGGGAATGGTCCAATCCTAACCACCTTGATCACAACAATGTCAAGCTAAATTAATGTAGCACAAGGTTCTGATGGGAAACAAAGTTCTAAAATTTACAACGATAGCTTTATCCAACAAGGAGATAGCCACCTAAGCGGTAATATTGTAATTGAATTTTTTTCCCTCAAAAAAGCATTTCACACTAAGTTTTCCATTGAAAATCTAGACATAACTCACAACACACGACTCGTACAACGTTTGATATGAATAGTCTTTCTCTTTTCTCACTTGAAAGAAAGAAGTATTAGTAAAATGCTTAGAATTGTTTAAGTGGGTAAACACATTAATTATTTCCTTGTTTAATATTCCAAATAAAAAAGAAAAGGAATTAAATTTTATATTTAAGATGAAACTAATTCACTATATACATTTAACATTTTGCTAAATATTGCATTCGTGAATATGCAAAAGCAAGCAAATTATCATAAAAAAAGTACCCAGACAACAAAAGCATCCAGAAACAGTGAAAGCAGAGAATCGGCTAATACCTAGAGTCGCCAGCCTGCCTACTCGAATCTCCATATAACTGGATGCCGGATAAGTATGGCACATAGTACTGAATAACACAATCACTGCCATTCAGAACAAGCGGAACGCCAGCACCATAAGCACTCCACTCCTTAAAGGATTCCCAAAGATCACCAAGGGTAAAATAAGGCCTGTACTCAACATCACATGTCCTCCACCCCCTCATTCTTGTCTACCAACAAACAAAAACATAACATAAATAATCTAATACACCAGCAAACCAAATCAATATCAAATTTCAAGCATGAGAATGAAGGCTGTGGTATCTTAGTAGACTAACATAAACTCAAATTACTAGAAAATTTGATACAGCACAGAACTTAAGGCAAACCCCAAGAACAAACAAGGAAAAAAATCGAGATTATTTTCCTAATTGGTAACAGAAACGGGAAACTTTCTTCTATTCCGCAATCCCCTAAGAAATCTTCTAGAAAGCTTTAAATTTTTAATTTTACACTTTCCTAAAGGTTTTTACCTTGGAGACGTACTGAGCGGGAATCGATGGAGTAGTCGACTCCAAGAACCGATCCAAATTACTCGATCGATCCCCAACACTCTCAATCGAACTCGTCAACGACGACGACGACAAACTCGAAACAATCGCCTCCGGTTTCTTCATATCCTCCTCAAATCCAACCCTAGTCTCCGCTTCCGAAGATTTCCCCGTCATCACCTGATCACCGCCGCCGGCGGTCCTCGACCTCGGCGGGTTCCGATGATCCCTATAATGATTCCTCCGAGCCTTCGCCGCGGAATAGAACCGGTCGTCGCCGTTTCCCCTCCCAAACTGAAGGCTCGTCCCCAACATCCTCGATCAAACCCTAATCCCGGCGTCAGAAACACCAACTCCACGAAAACCCTACTCGATCGGAATCGTATCGTAACGTAGCCCTAGAAAAAGAAAGAGAGAGAGAGAGAGAGAGAGAGAGAGAGAGAGCGAATTAAACGGAACGGAACGGGATTTGGAAAGAGAAAGGTTTGTCAACTAAAGTCGAGGCCGTATTTATAACGGAGAAGAGGAATCGGAGGAGGAAGAGGAAAGAGGACACGGAAGGAATTTTGGGATTTGTTTGGGGGCAAAGAGATGAAGGGGAGAATTTTGTTTGCGCGTTTGCTATTGGAGGGGAGTGTGGACTCATCGGATTGACCTCGCTGTTTCGGATTTTTATGGACGGTTGGTTGTTGTGACACGTGGACGGTCGGGATGGATTGGACAGCGGGTGGTCTGGATCGGCAGCATGGGGGTCTGTCTTTGCGTTGGGAACCGGGAAAAACAAGGCGATCTTTGTGTATTTTTGCACTAAGGTACATAAGGAACTAGACTTTGCAGAGAGGCGTTAATTTACTTCTTTTAATAATAATAATAATCATGGATTAAGATACTAATACAGATATACGGTTCAATAAGAGAAATATATTATCTATAACCATCGAAATTCTACTACATATACATATAAAATGAGTAGAAAGCATATATTGACACTAAATAAATATGACGAAAATAAATAAGATTGAAGATATATAGGATATATAGGGTATGTATTGATGGCTATAGGATATATAAAGTATGTGTTGATGACTGATATCAAACAGTCAATGAGAGAAGTTGTTTGCTTAACGGATATCCTCTAACCCTCTGAATATCAAATTTGGAAGTGGATTGTTCTTCCCTGCATAGGTAGAAAACCGTAAAAGGGTGGAGTTGGGTCCTTCGATTGTTCCTCCTACGATCAAGTCAGTAAATTTGCTTGAGTTGAGAAGTAACTGAACTATAAAAGTTCTTCTTAAGTACTGTGGGTAGAGATGAACATCTTACCTTTATGTTGAAGATAGTAATCATATTTATAGTGGTAGTAGAGGGGTAGGATGGTAACTTCGACCGAATATCGATTGACGGCCAAGTTAGCATTTGTTTTTCAGGTGCCGGCTAGCAAGTGGAAGCGTGGTCACTTCCGCATTCAATGTGAAATGACGGCGAGCGTGCTGACATAATCCGATGTGTCATAAAGACTGATAAGAGTAGAGAAATGATGGCGCCAATTATGCATTTAAATAACATTTATTGTGAGGTGATCAGCTGTCAGTGCACATGAGGGAGCTCGAGACTAAAGGTAGTCATCGCCTTTCTACTCATCCGGTAGAAGGGCGAGAAGTACCGTCTTTTGATTCACCTTTGCGAGATGTCAGTGAAACGATTTATCAATGAGTCGACCAAGTCAGGTGTCAACACGTCAAGCCTTTTGAGTCGCACTTGCGGGATGTCGGCGTGTCGAGTCGTCCGAGCTGGGTTTTTGGTTATCTTGAAGTGAAGAGTTGGCTCGATTACACATAATGCGGGACACTTGTCTGCTATTAATTGGAGATTATTTTTTAACATTAAAACGGCTATAACAATATGTTATACCAAAAAGTATTAAATCTTTGCTCTCCAATGTGTTAAATACTAAGTTAAAATTAATCTTAAAGCTACTGATCACATATTACAATAATTTAACACAGATTGATAAATATATCTTTATTAATTTCTTATTTAAAACTTTTAAGAGATATTCACCTCTATATCAATACCAAATGGGGTATAAATATTTAATATATGATGTATTATTTGGCACTTGAATGTGAATTAATTATGCATAGATATTCATTATCTTTCCTGATATGAATGCATTGAAGATCTATGAAATTTACCAGGCCGGTAGTGTAAATAGTTAAATTAATGTCATATAATTACAGTTGGATGCTAAGATTAATAAAGACAATGTTGCTATTAATAAAGCAAATAGTGTAGAAGGATTTAAGTGAAAAAAAAGGTATTAGTGACGTGACTTCTATGTAACTCAGGGATTCCCTCCGTTTGCCCCGGCGATAATCGGATACGGAGATTAGGTCACCTCACCGCAGGTAACTGTTGTCATTCTAGACCTTCTCCAATGGCAAGGCAAATATGACTTTCTCTCTCCCTCCACCTCACTTTATTCTCCCTCCACATCATTTGCCTTTTCCAATTGCCTTTCAACTACACAACAACTAGTTTTTCAAAAGTTTTTCACTTTATCTTTCCTCCACATCACTCAACCATCTTCTGACACGCGGGGCCATTGGTGAAATTTAACCGGTAGGCAAATTTTGCCTTTTCTCTCCCCTACTTTTCATTTGCCTATCCACTTGCTTAGCCATTGCACCAAATAATTGTCCCAATTGTTAGCCATTGCACTTGGTCTAACCGATCAAATAACAACTTAACAAAATTGCGTCCACGTCAGCGATGTGGCTAGTATTTAAGCGGCAAACGGTGACCAGAGTCGTTAGGAAACGGGCAATCGGATGTTACACGCGGGCAGTTCGGGCAAAAAATGGTGACACCCAGTTTGGACCCGAGTCAGGTGGGTCCCAGTAGTAGAGTGCTTAATCGAGTTTTTTTTTTCATTTTTCGATTGTTTTTCCTAAAAAAAAAATTCTTTAACTTTAAGAAAAGCATATTAATCTGGAAAATAAATTTTAAGAAAAGCATATTAAACTGAAAATACTTTTCCTTTTTCAGTTGTTTTTTCTAAAAAAAAGAACTTCTTTAATTTTAAGAAAAGCATATCAAACTGAATTTTTTTTTTCATAGAATCAAAAACATTATTTATATACAATTTAGTGTTACAAATTTTTTATCTACATCATCAGTCGAACATAGTACATACAACGATAATGTTTTTAATCTCAAACTTTTATTCAAGTGTGGTATTCTATAGAGACAAGTCTTGCACATATATAATATGAGGAGAAACTGTAATGAACTTTTTAGGGGTTGTTTGGTCCGTGGATTGTATCTTGATGCATGCTATGAATCTAGAAAATTTCACGTTTAAAATCACAAATTAGGTAAAATTCACATAATTTGATAATAACTTAGACGCAAAACCCACCAAATGCACGGGAACAAACAACAGCTTAGATTAGAATGAGAAAGTTTGAGTTAGAATATCATCATTTCTACACACCAATCTTCTAAAGCAAGGGTTATATATTAAAAAGAAGAAGAAGAAGAACATGTTTCTAAATGAACCTCTGCACAAATTGAAATAATAGCGAAAATGGCAGATTCTAATCTCGGACGTACTAGCTGGCATGAATTTAATTGTACATTAAAACATTATGAAAAAAAAGGAAATTTGAAGGTTTGTCCTTAAAAAAAAATCTAAAATGGAAAAAGTAAAAGAATGGTGGAGTTGATTCGGATGGGCTATCGAGGTTGAGACGCTAGTTTAAACGCCGTTGCTTTTTGGTTCAACGGCTCCCCGACGGGAAAGCAGATTAGATAGATATAGATGGATAACAAGGATAGGGTTTGTTTTCAAGTAGTAAATTCTCAATTAATGCCTTCCAATTTAGAAATTCTTTATCGGTGCCCAAGCTTTTATTCCAACTAATGAGATCCTCACATTTCATGGGTCCACTTTGGGGTTTAATACGGCCCACAAATAGGCCCATAAGTAGACCTACTTATGTTCTTAAGTTAAAGGGGTGTTTGGTTGCACAATTTTATAGAAAAGTTTTCTTAAAATATCTGACAATAGTAATTCTGCAATTAAAAATTTTATGTAGATTTTCGTAAATTGTGTTTGGTTCAAAAAAATTTACAAAAATATTTTCTGTAAAGTACAAAAAAAATATCAAAATTTACATAAATTAATTTTCTCTCAAAATGAGCGGAAATCACCCAGAAATATGACACCACACTAACACTTTTCTATAAAGTTGACACTTTTTTATAAATTTAGGAGGTGTTTGGTTCAATTTCTACAAATTATAGGAAGACTTGCTATTTTCTATAAAGTTATGACCATTTTCTTGTTTTGAACCAAACAAGCAAAAAAAATGTTACTTTTTGACTTCTCAAAACTTTTACTATACTTTTTTTTAAGAAATACAAGAAAATCATATTTTTGATGGAAAACATTTTCTATAATTTATAGAAATTGAACCAAACACCCTCTAAAACAGTAGGTCCGTGTCCAAGAATAAAATAGACTGAAAAAGTAATATGTTGATTTTCCTAGGTTCTCAAATTTTCACGTAGTTCAGAGTTTTTAGAGCATGAATTAAACTAGTTTACAATTCCTATTCAATTTTGCCGATCTGATTGCATCCTGCTTAATCTTTGATGTTGCTGAAAGGGATTAATATTGAGATCTACATTGGTCGGAAATTATTACAAATTTTGTACTACTACTAGTTATTTTAATACAATGCTACCACTATGACTTCCCCTTTTTCTTGCTTATAATATAATTTTTGAGCATGTGGTTCATACACGTGCAAAGAAACCTTTTATTTCCTTGGTGAGTATCTTTGACTGAACTACTTCAGTAATACAAGAATTTGACGGCAATTAGTCCCATAATGGTGTAATTATTTATGCCAACTAATCCCGTTATGATTAATAAGACCATTCAAAACAACTTGAAAACTATTTTTTTTAATAAAAATTTTCTAGTGAATAATGGCGAAACACTTGGCTTGTGCTGTATGTATACAGTAAAACTTTAGGTCTGAGCTCAGGTTATGCCCAGCAGCCCATGGATAGTATAATAACCTAATAATAATAAGAAGAAGAGAAAATAAAGAATACAAAGAAATGCACACATGTGTAGCATAATTAGTTTTCAAGGGCATCAACTTTAGTCAATAGCCACAGGGGAGAAAGTAGTACTTTAATAACAAAAAGTATAAGAAAAGGATTCTAAAAGGAGATTAAATAATGGTCAGAGATCAGAATAGAACCACACAAACAAAGTAAGTGAGCAGAAACGCTTAAATAATACAAAAGTTGAAGATAAACATCCAATTTCATGTGACAAAAGAATCATCTATAACAAGAAACAGCCATAATTTACCATGGAGAACAGCATATTTTCTGATGTAGACATCAATCTTCGTGGTAGGCAACAACAACAACAAAGCCTTTCTCCCAAATATTTAGTCAGTTACATGAATCCTATACTTCCATTCTATTCTGTTATGAGTCATCTCCTGCGTTAAGTTAGTCATAATCATATCCTTCTTAATTGCTTCTAACCAAGTCATTTTAGATCTATCTCTCGCTCTTCTAGACCCATTAACTATAATATTATCATTTTTTCTCGCCCCATTAACTATAATATTATCACCTTTTCTCACCGTGCACTAGGGGTGGCCTTTCTCCCAAATATTTAGTCAGTTACATGAATCCTATACTTCCATTCTATTCTGTTATGAGTCATCTCCTGCGTTAAGTTAGTCATAATCATATCCTTCTTAATTGCTTCTAACCAAGTCATTTTAGATCTATCTCTCGCTCTTCTAGACCCATTAACTATAATATTATCATTTTTTCTCGCCCCATTAACTATAATATTATCACCTTTTCTCACCGTGCACTAGGGGTGTCCAAAAAGCCCGGAGCCCGGACCCGGCCCGGTGTCCGGCCCGGGCCCGGCCCGGTCGTGCCCGGGCCCGGGCCCGGCCCGGGCCCGGAAACCCGGGCAAAACCCGGGTCCGGGCCCGGAACAGTGCCCAAAAATGGGCACTGGGGCCCGACCCGGCCCGGCCCGGCCATAACGGTCACAAAGGTGACCGTTGCCCAGCCCGGCCCGGGCCAAATCTGGCCTAACGGCCAGATTTGGCCTTTTGACCGTTTTGCCCCTTAAAACGGTCAAAAACGGCTATTTTTCGAGGGTTTTTTGGTCATTTACCTAGGGGGCTGGTTCTATAAATAGAGGGGGGGTTTCAATTCATTTTCTCACAACAAAACTCATCTATTTCTCTCTCTACTACTCTCTTATACAATAATATACTATCCTATAATCTTTTGTATTTTCTAATACTTCCAACAAATGGCTTCTGGGTCTGATTATGAAGAGCAACATGCAACTCCTACCGATCCAGAGATGAGTCCTCCTACAACAACTCCTCATCCTACCGGTGTTAATCCTGAATCTGGTGGTGACGAATCTACGGCACCAAGAGCTCCAAAAAGGCCGAGGTCTGATGTATGGAATTTTTTTGAGAAGATAGACGTCACCAAGGATGAACACGGTAGGATCATCTCTCAGAATGCGAAATGTGCGCTGTGCGGCCAGATATTCAAAGCTCATCATAAGAGCGGCACCAACCATCTCAAACGGCATATTGAAAAACACAACAAAGGCCAAAATCTACAAGGTGATATCCGGCAGTCTATGCTTTCCCAATCATCCTCTTCAGGTACCCTCGGCAGTTGGAATTATGACGCTGCCCGAGCCCGGAAATGCGTAATCAGGTTTATTGTTCTTAAAAACCTTCCTTTTAAATTAGTAGAAGATGATGAATTTGAAGATATGTTTAGAGATGGTTTTTATCCTGCATTTACAAAATTTTCTCGTCAAACCTGTCAACGTGATATTTTAAAATATTATGTTGAGGAACAGGGAAAAATAATTTCTTATTTTCAAAATTTAAACTGCAAATTTTCTTTAACTTCTGATATTTGGTCATCTAGAGTGCAAACTGGTTATTTATGTATAACAGCACACTGGATTGATGAAAGTTGGAAAATGTTTAAAAGAGTTGTTTCTTTTATTGCAATTGAAGAGGCACACACTGGTATTAATGTTGCAAATTTAATTGTTGAAGAACTTGGACAACTAAAAATTGATCAAAGAATATTTACTATTTCACTAGATAATGCAAGTAATAATAATGTAGCTGTTGATTTTCTGAAAATAACTTTGTCATTGCCATGTCATGGTGAGCTTTTTCATGTTAGATGTATCTGTCATATTTTAAATTTAATTGTTCAAAGTGCATTTTCTGAAATTAAACCCATGATAGAAAAAGTTAGAACAGTTACTAATATGCATAATGCTTCTGAAATGAGAATTAAAAGATGGAAACAATGTTGTAAAAGAAAAAATTATAAGCCTAGACTAATTCCAAAAGATGTTGACCATAGGTGGAATTCCACCTATGCAATGTTATCTGTAGCAATAGAATATAAAGAAATTATAAATGATTTTATAAATTTTTATGCTTCTAGTTCTAGCTCTGGTAGTGCTTATGGAATAACTGAAGATGAATGGACAGTTATATGTAAATTAAATGAGATGTTACAAGTTTTTTATGATGCTACTATGTTATTATCTGGTTGTTATTATCCAACTATTACTTTAGCTGCTTTACAAATTTTAAATATTCAAAAATTTTTTGCAAAATATCGTATGGATGATACTTTTGGAAATATAATTTTTCAAATGGAGAGTAAATTTAATAAGTATTTTAGGCCTATTCCTCATATTTTTGGTATTGGTGTTCTTATTGATCCATGCTTGAAGGAAATTGGCCTTCGAAGTTTGTTACAATCATTATATGGTGGACAGATTATAGACTTAGATGATGGATCCACCCTTACTGCTACTACTCATTATGTAGCTATTAGAAATTATTTTCAAACCTTATATGATGAGTATGCAGCTAGATATGGTGTAGCTACACAACAGTCTTCAGCTTCGGCACCTTCAGCTTCGAGCACAGGTCGAGGTAAAAGTGTAAGTTTTGATAGGTATGCAATGGTAGCTGAACTAACTGGTGGATCTGGAACTTCATCAGGATTAGAGGTTTCTGAAATAGACGAATATTTATCTGCTTCCTTAGTTAAATGTCAAGGAAATGCTTTAGATATTTTGCAATGGTGGAAAGTATATGGATCAGTTTCATATCCTATACTTTCCACCATGGTTCGTGACTTACTATCAGTGCAGGTTTCGACTGTAGCCTCGGCCCGGTGTCCGGCCCGCTCAGGCCCGGGCCCGGGCCCGGACCCGGCCCGGACCCCCCGGGCCCGGGTCCGGGCTTGGGTTTTGCCCGGCCCGGGCCCGGTTTTCCGGGCCGGGCCGGGCCGGGCCGGCCCGGATGGACAGCCCTACCGTGCACTAAATGGTCTCTGTTGTTCATGACCAACCCATCTTAATCTATTCTCTCTCGTTTTATTCTCAATAGAAGCAAACTCTTTTAGTGTGTACTCACAAGATCATCATAATATTCTTATTTCCGCTACACTCATTTTTAAACATGTTATTTTTAATTGCTCAATACTCTGGCCCATATAACATAATTGGTCTTATAACCGTCCTATAGAATTTTTCCTTTTTACCTTTATTAGTATTCTAAACTTCTATGGTAGACAGAACAAAAATACTGAATTTAGCCCTTTTTCTAATTTTAGCCTACTGATTCAATTAGACAGTGCGTGTACATAAACCTAATGCAATATAAACATTAAATATTGAACGTGCAAGCTCTTCCCCGGTGAAAGCATTTACAGATCATAATACTTACCATTGTGGACTGTAATTGAAATATGAACCAAACACAAACTATAGAAAGTGAAAATCAATATGAGATTTTTACCCCAGAGGGAGCACGGCAACAAGACAACATCCTCCCTCCCCACCCGTAGCCACCACCATTTATCACTTCTCAGATCTTACAGAGAGGAAATCATCAAACCGATGTAATACATACATAAACCAAAATAACGAAAAAGCAAACTCCTTCCACACGAGCACATAATATGATCAAGATATCATCTCTGTCTTGTAACTATAGATCTTCTCTCATGTCCAGATACACCATTCTGATTGTGAGTCCATGATGAAGCCTTAATCCTCCCTGCTAATAAGACTGACGCAGCACTGGCACTTATCTTCCTCCTCTTTGCCCCAAGCTCCAGTAGCCTACTTCCAGATGCAGAGCTTGATGATTCTCCAAAGATTGAAGATGCCTTGATCGCAGTTCGCTTGTCCTTCCTGTTCCTCTCAAACTTGGAGGAGAATCTCACACCAGCAGCACTTGCTGCATCCTCTTGAGATGAAGGGAGAAGCCGGATCCCAAGGCCCATCTTTCTTAAAACCTCTTCTCCTTGAGCAACTTTCTTCTTCTGACCCTGAGGAGATCAACACGCACACATATATAGTTAGGACCCTCGCTATCATAATTTTCCATCCATAAGGTTATGATACCAATTAGCCTTTAGCAGAAAGTCTTGACTAGATGAGGATTTAAAAGATTTACTCTATTGCGCCAACAATTGATATATTATATAGATGTGTAGAGGAACAAATAACTATTCGCCAGAAGGATTTACAGAAAGAGGACGTTATTATGTGAACCACGAAGCTAATTTGTAGACAATGTAGTAAATCTCTGTTCCTCTTTAATAGACACAATATAATTTGTTTCTTTCTTAAAACCAAAGTTCGAAGATCTGAGATATATGCATCGTATCATTTCTATGCTTCTAACTTTAAACCCGTAGGAACCACTACACTGTTTTCCTGTAGAAGCATTTTAAAAATCCTCCAAGATTATGGGAGCAAGCAGCAACAAAGCCTCCACACTTCCATGCAAAGAAAGCTAATGTGACACCCACCATTTACTTTCTAGACGAATTATCCTAAAAGTTCCCTACGTTTCACAATCCTTTGCAAAAACAACCTAAATCTGATGTCTATCACCAAACCAAAATTAATTCTACTTCCAAGTTCCAACCTTTACTGTATATACGATAGTAATAATCAGCCTCCTACTAGATAGACATGTACACGCACATAAGATAATCTGTTTCTCTTACCTGTTGTCTAAAATAAATAGAACTAAATATGCATACAACATTTCAACTCTTCTCTTCACATAATTAAAACTTCAACTCACAAACTACAAGCAAGCCATGCCCCTCCAGTATTCCCTTTTCCAAATTATGGTTTCTACGTAACCTAGGTGCAATAAGCACAAATATAATACTTAATGAATCAGCAAGTTGAAACTCATTATCACCAGAATCTTACCCTTAGGCGAGCACGGAGGGCTCTGTTAAGATTGTAGTCATCAGAATGCCTACTGTCAGAAACTTTTTGGAGGCGAACTAGCACTGGCTCAGCTTCTTTCTTTTTCCGTATATCTTCTTCCTGATGTTCAAGACGGTAGAAGGGATCTGACAGCTTGGCTCTGTCTTCATCTGCTGGAAAGGCAAATGTTTCGGCATCTTCGACATCAAAATCCTCTGTCTTCTGCTGTGCTCCACTGATAATCACATACTGGCAATTTTTTGGGTCTGTCTGTATGACTATTACATGCTGACAACATGCCGACTTCATTGTGAAACTCCATATCTAAATGTACAGAAACATTAAGATTATGTTAAACATCAAGGAGCAAAGAAGAGAAGAACAAACATCCAAAAAACAATTTAATAGCACCAAAAAAATTTTCCTACCACAAGTTTTTTAATCTACAAGCAGGTGCACAATAATAGACAGCAAATCATATATACCTAGATATATAATAAATTAGACAGAGAATTTATCACATGTAAAGGGTTGTTTTATGGAAAGCTCATCCACGAGCACCAACCAATTTGGAAGAGCAAGGTGACGGGTCGAATTAAAAATGATATAGGAAATAGACAAACTTTGATTTGTATGTACGATTATATAGGAGAATTAGATATCTTTATCGTGTTAGATCTTTCAGGTAACTAGTCATTGAAATGCTTCAGAATGGATACTGCAATGAGATTTTGACTACATTCAAGCCTGTGAAATGGGAAATAAAATCCAGATACCAAACTAGAAGCATGTTAAAGGTTAAGTAACTTAATAAAACATACTCCAAATCTGGAAGCAGAGGGCATACAATATGCATATCTATTATCCTAAAAAATAAAAAATAAAAAAAATCAGGTTTTTATAATACAGGACATAGTTGGTAAGGACAAGATTTATCTAATTAATGTTTGCCATTAAATCTACTAATCGTATAACTACAGGCATCCAATTCACCTCCAAACTTTTATGTCTAGAAATTCTGAATATCAATCATAAATAAAGATGCAAGTAAATCATGTATGAGCCTTAGATAAAACTAAGTTTCTTAGCTTCAAATTGGCCAAAACAATGTGAATCAAATAAAGAATCTTATTGAATCCAATAACAATGTGAATCAAATAAAGAATCTTATTGAATCCAATAACAATGTGAATCAAATAAAGAATCTTATTGAATCCAATAACAATGTGAATCAAATAAAGAATCTTATTGAATCCAATAACAATGTGAATCAAATAAAGAATCTTATTATTTTGTAAACAACCAGTGTTATATATATCGGCTGGGGCTCTGCGCGCGTTCCATCCTTTTTCTTAAAACAATAAATAAATAAAGAATCTTATTGCTCAAAAGAACTTCCATAGCTCATACAATCCACTGGACATGATGAAAAGGTGGACCTCAAGTATACTCCTGATCAAATTATGACTGATATCAAATTGACTTGACTAACTATAACAAATAAACGTATCCATGAACAAACAAATAGCAAGTAGATATTTCAACTCAAGATTGAAAAGAGTGGCAACATTGAAAACTACTAGAACAATTAATTCTACTACACTCATCACTAGGCTAACAATATAATACTTGATTTCAAAAATTCCTATCAGTTAGAAACTACACACAAGAAGAATCTGAATCATAAAGTCAACTCAAGCTGACAAAAAAATATATATCCAGTGTATTGAGACGGATTTTTATGACTCTTTTATAAACTCTACAAATTGAAAGCAAGATCTTCATTCTTCATACCTTTGTGGAATAATAATTTCCCACTTGCTTTTTCTCCGCATTGAACCTCACACCCTTGGCAATCATGGAATTGCATCCGCCACACCATATATTGTAAGGCATCTCGAATCTAGAAAGCCCAAAGCAAACCATGCAATTAAAAAGAGGGAAATGTGAAGGTAGAGGCAAAAAAAGAAGATATCATAAGTTTTTCACAGGTAACCACTTAACAATATTGATTCTCTCATCTGTGAGTTTAAGTGCGGAACTTGACACGCTAGTGCCAGCAGCTTTATCAACTGTATATAGCACTAGCAGCTTTATCAACTGTATATAGCACTAACATAGCAATTTAACAAATATCAGAGAGAAGTTTTCTCACATGTTTGCTCACACAACTTGAGCTCATCTCGCAATGTGGTTTGGGGGGCTTTATTTTTT